TTCTTACCTTACCTTACCTCGTTACCTTGCGTTTTTATAAACTAGGGGACATGAAGAAAGTTCGACGCCTGATTGAACCACTACTACAACAGCTTTGCTACGCCAACGGTGTACAATTGAGTATAACAGACGTCATTTATAAGAAGAATGTAGAATCTAATGAAGAAGAAGAATTTGAAGTCCTTTTACACGTATATCCAGATCCACAAGCTTAGAAAAATTAGTCAGTAATAAAAAAAAACGGATTTATTTGAGTGTGGAGGAACAATGGGAAGATTTTTGCAGTTTGCAGATAATTACTTAGTCAACCAGTGTCGGAGAGGGCATTCTCAGTAGCTACATTGCAACGGATATTAGATGCTGGTTAGCAGATAGTACTCTTGATACACTTTGTTTTTTGAGAAGTTACTTTCAAAATCACCCGTAACTACTTTTTAATCTCCTTGAGCTATACTATACCTACTTTTGCTTTGATTATGTTCATGTTAGTAAAACTGTTAATTATTTAGTTAGCAACATCAAAGGATAAAGGCTTTTGATTTTTTTAAATAATCTTTTGTTTTAATTAACCTCACTATCACAAGCAGTTTTCATCGTATTCAGAAAGGTGATTATTTTTTCAACTAGACGAGATTCCGCAAATTTCTGGATCCCGCGAGATTGACATTTCTAATCCCGAGGGATCTCGATTTTATGATCTCGAGTCGGGATTGCATGCCCTATCGGTATCCAACCACTGTATTGAATTTCTCTTGTTGTCATAGTTGGTTCACTTTTCATCACACGTGATGATCTTAACCAAAAAAAGATGGTTTTGGTTGCGCAAAAACAAAAAAGGAAGGTGACGATTTCTGTCGATCGTTCAAATCGTGGGGCACCCACTTTTCGAGCATTCAGACCTTTCCAATACGTTTTCAATCATAAAAAACCGCATGGGAGCTGACGCTCAGTTTTTCCTCCATCCCACGCACCGTTTCTGATGGGTCAGTCTTCACCAGGGTCTCAAATGTCCTTTCTGCTTTCATTAAAACTACAATTACCAAATACCTGTTTAATTTTTCGGGCTGTTTCGGCAGCGCTTTGGTTCAACTTAAATTCAGAAAAAATGGGCGAAAATCGCTTAACGACTTCATATAGTAAATAAGCTGAAAAGAGGCAAAAAATCAAAATTTGGAAAAAAAAATGAAACAACATCAATTAATAGAGTACAAAATTCTATATCGATCAGTATATATTTATTGAGATGTGGGGCTACAAAAAAGTATGACAAAAACGGACTGAAAATTTTAAACTATCTGATACAATGGGGAATGTTCCTCCTGACGAAAATCAAGTAGTTTTCATTAAGAGCTCTAAAATGCATTTTGAACTTATCATTTCAACCTTTTTCTTTAAAAAATTATTCAAATACTTAAAAAAGAGGAATGAAATAATGCATTCAACATTTAAAGGGATTCATTTCTATTTCACCATTTGGCAACATCGGTTATAGCTAATAAAGGACAATGAATCTGTTACCTGTATGAGACAAACAAAGATGACATATTTTAGAGGCGTGCTGTTCTGTTTACTTATGTTCCGAGTTCCGAGACATTCTGTGACATATGACATTTTGTGCATCTAACCTATCTTCCTCTATATAAATAAAAAATCTGTTTAAAAAAATCTGTTTTTCCGTTAATCAGCTGTCGCTGTTGTTGCTGTTGTCGCAACTGTTGTTTATGTGGCTAGTGGAGGTCGTATTGAACTATAATTTATATTTTGCCTTAATTTTTGATTTATAAAGATAATTTTCCTTTTTTCAAGTAGAATTTCTAGGTACGTATAAATTATTTCAACTTGATATAGGCGCTGTTGCCAATATGTGAATTAAAAACAAATCCCTTTAAACATAACCCAACATTTGAAACATCAATTTGAATATTTTTCGAGGTGAATTTGAAAAATTCATGAATTAAACTCAACTTAATTTTGTTCAAACTTGCATTTGGTGTAATAACCCAAATTGAGGAACATTCCCCATTGTTAAACAACAAATTTTCCCGATCTCCGTTTCTACATATGGTGACATAAAAGTTGAAATAATAGGCTTCACAAATGTTTGCTTCCTGAAGCCCTTCTTATATACAGGGCGTTCCAACGAGAACTTTACCTCCTCTGTAAGTCAGAAACGGACATGTAATCGAACATTTCAAAGGACACGTCAATTTGTATTTCTAGAAGGACTAATTCTGATATGGAAATCATACCCGAAACTTCACCGCCCTGCGGTCCAGCAACTACCCCACCTATTTTTTCAATGACATGGGGGTTGAGTGATAAATCATTTGAAAGGTCTTTTGTCCCTCTATTACCTCTGTAATTTTTTTCGAAATTAGTTAATTCGTTATTGAGAAATTAAATGTTGAACGTTTTATTTAAGAAAAACCAGAAAATTCGTTGTCGTTCATTTTAATGAGGAAATCAACAACAAATAATATCAGTGGAAATAAAATCAATGGATAAATTGTTCATAATGACCTACACCTAGTTCCATACAATAAAACAGTATGCTCTCGAAAGTGTTCCGTACATTATTCAAGATGTCCGGAGTCAGCGATCGGCATTTCCGGACAATTCTCTGTCGCAAGTCATCCAGTCCTATCGGTGTGAGATCAGGTGATCTAGCTGGCCACTCCACTGGACCCCTTCTGGTAGATCCAACGCATTGGAAAACGTTCTTCCAAAAACTGTCTCACCCGAACATCAAAATATGGGGTGCACCTTCCTGCTGGAATGTTATATCATTTTCTACTAAATTGTCATCATTTTCTAAAATCTGTGTTTTCATAGGATGTACACAGTCTTGTAATAGATTTAAGTATGTGTCTCCATTGAGATTATCCTCAATGAAGAATGGTCCAACAATATGGATTACCAAGAATGCCGGCTCAGACATTCAATATTTGTGGAGTTCGTGAATGAGTTTCCATCACCAAATGAGGATTCACATCGCAGCAACGACAATTATGTCTATTCCCGTCACGCCTCACAAAACTAAAGTCGGCGATCAGAATCATCTACGTTTAATTCCTGAACTAGTTTTATTTTGAAAGGATGGAATTTGTAGGCTTTCAAAATCCGAAAAACTCGAAGTTCGAAACTTATCCTTTAACAGTTTAACGTATTCGTGGCTCACGTTGTGGTCTGGATGATTCATATTATAAATTCTTGCAGCAGCTTTAGCACATTCATCATTTTGATAATAGGTTGCAACAATTTCTATTCTTTCTTAAGTAGAATAAACCGTGTTGGAATACAGTGAACAAGGATGACTTGGTAATAATTCGTTAAGAAGTGACAGTGGTCAACTATCTATCTACTTTGTGTTCTGCTACAACTAGATTCAACAAAAACTACCAGTGCAGAAAAACTAATAGTGGCGTCCATTTCAAAACGTTCACTAATAATTAAATAAATTCTACAAATCTAGAAGACCTGCGACAGAGAATGCCGATTTCTGACTCCAGACATCTTCAATATTGTAAGGAACGCTTTCGAAAGTAGACTGTATTATTGTATGGAACTATATGGAGGTCATTTTGAACACTTTATCCGTTGATTGTGTTGCCATTGATATTACTTTTGTTTTTTTTTCTCAATAAAATGAGCGACAGCGAATTTTTTGTTGGTTCCTAAATAAAACATTCAACATTTAATTTTTCAATAACGAATGAACCAATTTCGAAAAAAAATAACAGAAGTAATAGAGGGACAAAAGACTTTCAAATGATGTATTACTCGACCCCCCATGCCATTGAAAAAATAGGGGGGGTAGTTGCTGACCGCAGGGGGGTGAAATTTCGGGTATGCTTTCCATATCAGAATTAGTTCCTATAGAAGTAAAAATTGAGGTGTTCTTTGAAATCTTCGATTACACGTCCATTAGACTTTCAAATGATGTATTACTCGACCCCTCATGCCATTGAAAAAATAGAGGGGTAGTTGCTGACCGCAGGGGGGTGAAATTTCGGGTATGCTTTCCATATCAGAATTAGTTCCTATAGAAATAAAAATTGAGGTGTTCTTTGAAATCTTCGATTACACGTCCATTTCTGACTCACAGGGGGCGTCAAGTTTTAATTGGATCGCCCTGTATGTATAATTGAGAAGATCAGGTCATAGAAGTGATGTTGAAATAAATTTTTTCATACATGTTAATACCATTTTCGAAACGGTTTTGGAAAACCGTTACACAGGTCACCTAAACGCATGAATATCGTTTGATTTAGTCAAATACAAATAAATGCACAATTAAAGAAGTAAAAGTTTTTTTTTTCATTTGTACGAACGTTCGTGACTAGCTGCAGGACTGAAAACTTTCCATTTATCTTCAACGACGGATCTCATTCATCTTGAGTAAATATTATCGAAGAAATAATTCACAGATTCTCGGATTCAACATATATGTGCGTGCAGCTTGTCATCTCAGCTAAGTGGGATCTTTCCAGTTATTTAATTTTCTAATTTTCACTGAGTACGTGGTTTCATGCTATACAAAGAATAGCCGAAACAATCCTACCTGGCAGTGATAAACTAGGCTGTTCCGAAAATTGGGTTATCAGTGATTTTGGGCGAACAGCAGTGAATGAACTGCCACTGTAATAAATAATAGATTCCGAAGGTTGAGCTAACAAAGTGGTTGTAAATCTCTGTCAGTCCCACGGATTTTTTTTAATGGAAATTTCAAGAATCGACCTCATTTTGGGATACCATTCCATCGTCCATAGATATTCTAATAAGTCTGGTAACTCCTTTGATGTGGGTAAAATATGCCGCTTTTTTTGCGAGCGGTCGTAAATCATGCGGCTACCAGCAGAAATACGTTATACGAGGGTCAGTCAGCAGCGCGAACAATATGTTTACTCGAAAGTGTGTCTACGAGGGTCAGGCGTCAAGTGTTGATCATATTCATTATATATTATGTATTTATGTTTTTGTATGATCTTTCATTGAGATGATTATATAATATGAGATTCTAATAACAATAAATTGAGGAATATTNTGGATTGTAGTACATAATCAGTTTCTTTGTTGGGAATTAATTCTAAAAAACATTTGTAATATGAATGAGTGATTATGTTCATCATCATAGAGCTTTGGCATTTACCTTGTTCAACTTCATGACATGTATCTGTTTGTGTACACGCATCTAATTTTGAAGGAGCTAATACGCTGGAGGGACCTGGATTGTCATTGTTTTGATCATTACCTGAAAATAACTCATTCAAAAAAATATTCCATGCTTGTGAAGTGGAAAATTTCTTACCGTCCAATTTTGTTGGAAACTTTAAGGGCACAGCAGTGGTAAGTAAATGTTTTCCAGAGGAAGTGAAGGATTCATCGTCAAAATGTTTTCTACAAACTCGTATTCTAATGTAGGCTTGCTCAGGTGTTAAGTTAGCATATTTGTGGTCTCCAACAAAACCAAATGCTTTTTTCCACTGCTGACACCTGCGAAATATAGTTTGAACATTAGTTATAAATAGTATCTAAATCACATTACTACCGAAACATTTTTGACCTATAACTGACATTATGTATTTGATGAATTTATTACCTTGTGGCATCTTTGGGGAATCGAAAAAATGAAATATTTTCACGTAAACTATCACAAGAATCCACACTGCAAAAGGTACGGTGAGAAGTCATCACAACAATAAAAAATGTTCAAATAACTACAAGAATAAAAGTTCCAATAAAATGTTTATTTTACGCACTAAGTATAACTGGCCGGAACGATGCGAACTGTTCAATCGGAGACACTCTGTTAAACTGGCTCCCCCGTCAGACGGGCACTGACGACCGACCGGCCAGGCAAGGGACGCGCGAGGACGGAGGGTGATGATTTGGGTCGCTGCTGAGAGTGAGCGGACTTATTAGAATATCTATGGACGATGACCATTCCATAGATTCTCTCGACCTGAAATGTATGTGACACTAATTTCGGTATGTTTAATTCGGATAAGGAATCTCGGAATGTTATCATTAATGATACCCCATACTTTTTAAATGGCGAAGTCTTTTGTATATACACAGTCTATATATAGTCTATAAAACTAAATAGATAATTCGAAAGGGGAATGTTCCTCGATTTGGGTTATTACAGCAAATGCAAGTTTGAACAAAATAAATTGGTTTCAATTTTTTTTTCTCTAAAAGGAAGCTAGATATGAAGATAACACAAGAGACGAAAAAGTTGTATTTTTCGTCGATTAATAGAAAAGTACAACAACAAGTCAGTGGTCTACTTGTGGACCACTGAGACTCTGGTGGACCTAATAGTTTCAATCTAGTTAGGGCTTAATGAGCCATTAATACTTCAAATGACTAGCAAATTTCAATCGAATCGGTGTAAGAATATTTATGATACTTCATTACTACCTTTTTTTTTTAACTTCAACGCCATGTATCTCAGAAACCACGCAACTCTGCAACCCCGGTCATATGTTCATTAGAGCTTTATTTCTTAAAACGACCTAACGAATCATACTCTGAAGTTTTGTACCGTAGTCAGGAAACACCCTGTATATTCGTTCACTTTCTCATTTAAAGAACTCGATGTCTCATACAGATATTTCTTTATCACAAATTATGTGAAGATTATATATTATGAAAAGTAAAAACAGAGAATTTCAAAATTCAGTGATGAATAATTTGGCGATATCTCGACCTTTGAAATTTGTCCATTTTGCTCATAACAACTCGATATTATGACTGGCGTTCATATCTTCGATGAGTCATTCAATTGAAACAATGCTTTTAAGCAAAAGTATTTTATCTCCTAATTTTATTAATATCAATTATTTGATAAAAAAACATGTATTTCCAAAAATTATGTGGGGTTTCGTCACTCCAATAGCTACAATTTTGTCTATAAACACTCATCGCTGAAACGGTTGTTTAACAGAAGATTAGAGATGGTATTGACTCGATGAGTCAATACCATCATATACTATCATCCTCGCGGAGCTCTTGAAGAATCTGCATTTTATAAGGATGAAATTTATGCATTTTCAATGCTTTTTTACAGTCTCGCGTGGCATTCCCGTCTATTCTGATACTTATCGTAAGGAGCTTGTGGGCTCTGCAGCAGATGTTCCTGTTTCCAAAACTTCAATATCAGCTGCTTCATTTAGTACTCGGGGGTTATCTCTTTTTTTATTTGTCACTGAACCAGTTTCGTGAAACTTATTCACCAAATTAAACACATACCGGTGACTTACATTACAATTTGGATGTATTTCGTTAAAAAGACATGCCGCCCTTCGTCGGCACTTTCCAACTTCTCCATAAATTCTAATCATTTCAATTCTGTCTTGAAGAATGTTAACCATTGTAACACTTTTATACAGTTATCAAAGTAGTCAATAAACAGCCCAACAGGTACAAATCTATGCACAATACTACCACATCGTTCAAATTTGCGAACCAATTTTTCCCCTGAGAACAGAAACTTTTTACAGCAGAAGCCGCAAAAAAGGTCGGCTATCTGTAAACTTTCTGCAAGGAGAAATAGAAATTCAGCATTTACTAAACACAACTTTATTACCTTCTATGTTTTACTATCAGACCACTTTTTGATGTAAATTAATTGGAGGTAATGGCTAATGTTACCCCTAATAAAGGGTTGGAACGGTACCACATAATATTCTTACCAGTTCTGGTCAAACCATGCATCTCAGTATAGGCGTACTAATAATTACTTCTGTTAGTTTAGAACGCTATTTTTCGGAAAATGCTCATCAAAAAATAATAACGCTAATCAAAATGATGTACCACTTGACCCCCCTTCCCATTTAAAATTCTAAGGGTAACATCTATCCCTCCTAGGGGGTTGAACCACGAAGGCTACGAATAGTCCTTGAAAGTGTCCCCATTTGACAATAAAATTGACGTGTTTTTTCGATTCTTCATATTGTTTACTGGAAGTTTTCAAATTGACACCCTGTATAATGATTTCAGATGGCCAGTGTTTTATGGTTCGTGACAATGAGAAAGCAGGGACTATGGCCTTCTGTTTTAAGCCACCTGTCCAAGCGGCTAATTAACTCGGTTTTCGACACTGACTTGGACGTCTACGTCTATCTGAAGATAGCCAATGTATTGGATCTTATACTTTGCAGTCCAGTTCAATCTTCCCTGAAACCGATTTCGTGTCAACGAGAGATGAATATTATAATTTTTTACTCAAGCTTCGTCTATTTATATATAACAGGGTACACTTTCATTTTTAGGCATAGATATAGTTGGGTTGGGTGGAACTTGAAAGATCGCGTTAACATATCGACCGGTATTTCACGTATAAATGCTTCAATATTGGCTTCCAGAGCGTCAGTCGTTGCTGGTTTATCCCTGTAGACATGAGCCTCAACATGATCTCACAAGAAATAATCCAAAGGCGTTAAAATCATACGATCTAGGCGGCCAATTGACCAAACGTGAGATAAACTGTTCATCGAAGGCGGCTATTAATTGGGCCATTGTTTCGCATGCCGTGTAGCATGTGGCACCGTCTTGTTGAAACCACATGTCAGGAATGTCCAATTCGTCCATTTTGGGCAACAAAAAGTCGTAAATCATCACACGGTAGCGCTCGCCATTCACAGTAACGTTCCGGCCATTGTCGTCTTTAAAGAAGTACGACCCGATGATGCCACCAACCCATAATCCATACCAAACAGTGACATTTTCGGAATGCATCGGTAGCTCTTGCAATGCTTGTGGCTGGTCTTCACTCCAGATGCGGCAATTTTGCTTGTTAACGTATCCATCCAACCAGAAATGAGCCTCGTCGCTGAACACAATTTTTCGATAGAAATGTAGATCTTCCTCCAACTTTGCCAGCGCTCATTCTCCAAAAGTTAGACGTTGTGGGGGGTCGTGTGGCTTCAATTCTTGCACCAGCTGTAGTGGAGTAACAGAGGCCCAATTGCTGCGAACGGCGACGAATCGACATTTCACGGTCATCACGAACGCTGGAGGATACAGCAGCAATATTTTCTTCGGTCCTCACTCTACGTATGCGTGTTGGTGGTTTAATGTGCAATAATGTAAACTGGGTTCGAAATTTCACAAGCTCCCGAATAGCTCCCTCAGTAGGCCGACGAAACTGCCCATAAATTGGAAGAAGTGCACGATGCACTTTCTTCACCGAGTATGAATTTTGATAATAAAATTCTATAATTTGCAAGCGTTGTTCATTCGTAAGTCGATTCATGGTTAAATTATAGACCAAACTGAACAAGTTTGACAATGACACAAGAGACGATTCACGCGTGATCTATCAAAAACAGTGTTGCCAAAAAGATACTAGCAAAAAAAATAACCCATTAAGATCGACCGAAAGGAGGAGTAGAAACGAATATAATAAATATCGAGATTGAACTCCGCACACCAGCTTTTCTTCAGTTACTTTATTTTGGTGATTTATTGGAGAATGAATCTTGATGGGTCTTTCCAAAATATCACCTCACAGAAAGAGACATGAGCTTCTTCTTCAATGAAAACCACTTCTTTAATGGCATGGTTTGCAATATCTGCAGATAACTACTATCCAATTTTCGGAATTCTCAAATAATAAATGACGGCGTTTTCAATAAAAGCATGTACTCAGAGGCCAAATCTACGGCGATATTACTTCCTCAACTTTAGAAGACCCACTCTTTAAGTTAAAATATCTAAAGCAAAATCACTGACATGTCCCTCGTATTCATTTGGTCCACTCTATACAAGCGTTGCTGGTGTTTTGTGAAAGTTATACCGATGGTGCAGCAACGACGAGGAGGAGTCACGCTCGGTACAGAGCCCCACGTCCAAACACCAGGTTAGTGCACTTCGGAGAGCTCGTTGTTACGGACAGCAGCATCTAGTTGGCCACATATACATACACAGCCGCCTCAGTATAAGTTATCTCTTGTTGTCGGTGCGGTGCAGTTTCTCGTGTGCCAATCATTGTTTGGCGATAACGGCGTCGAGATAGATGGTCTAGCGAGGCCGTCCTCGTGGTTTTTGTTTCGGAGTTCTTATTATTTATCGAAGAAGGAGAGAGTTCGATTGTGTTTCGTCGATCTTCGAGAATCGGTGTGAAAGTATTGTTTCTATTTTCTTGTTCGGTGTTCCGTTATATTGTTGTTGTTCGACAAAAGGCTATTGCTGTCGTTGTTTCAAGAAGGATTCGGAATTNATTGAGAGAGCGAACTAAGTCAGAATCGGCAACAAAGTTTTTTGACGAAATAATAAAAATAATAACAATTTCACTTGGTCATATTTTTATCTACAAAGTTTTATCAATTTTTGACCAGATTATCAAACTAGAAGGTATACATATCACTACAAAACAATCTTGAGATAATGACATTTTGATTCTATACAAATCCAGAGTAAAATTTCTAAAAACTGACCTTTTTTCTGTCAAATAGTTAATAATACTAATGGCGTAAAAATGTTCTGGTTGGCATGTGAATAAATGTACCAAATTTAACAACAATTATTAACGTATTTATTCATAGCAATCCATTATCTAACAAATCAGACCTTCAACTAGCTGAAAATAATTATTTAAATTCTATCCTGCCAAATAAGGGTGTGAATAACAGATTTTCTCCATAAATAAAACATACGAAAAAAAAAACAATTCTATAAAAGTCCTCAAAAATTTTTCAATCCACAAATATTTTATTCTGTGAATGAATATTTTGGCATGTAGTTTGATAACTTACTTGTGATTTTTGCCTGGACTATTTGTATACTTATTTTATTATTATTATTAACATGAAATAATGAAAAATAGTTTCATAATATTCACATATTTCCTATTTTCCGAAAATCTCTGTTGTACAATTCTTCATGGATAATTCCATCACCAGAATGCATTTCACAAATGACGCT